AATGCAAACGTTTTTCAAACCTCTGGTTAAATTCGACCGACAGTGTTGCAAATTCATTAACACAATCACAGTTATTTTTTTAAAGCAGGATAGTACGGCTGAATATGTTTTTAAACCTTGTCCTGTTTTCCAGTTCTCCTGCGTAAAATGGCCTCTGCTCCTGTTCTAAACTACTCAGGTATTAGTCATGATGAGTCGTGTCTTTATTGCTGGTTCCATTCAAATCCATGTAGCCCTTTAACCCAATGTACACCTGCTTGCTTATTAACCCCCTTTAGTGCGTTTGACATGCGTGTCTGCTTATTAGTCGTCTGTCTTGTCATTGTAATACATATGCTAACATCTTCAGTGGCCATTTGAAATGATTTATGATTAACTTACCTTGACTTTTTTTTAGAATCCAAACAAACCAGAAGTATAGCTCTGTGATGTTTTTAATGGTTGGCTGACCTTCTCGCTCTGTCCTCAAGCCAACAATGTTATCATGAAACTTTCTTATTTACTGCTTTGTGACTGTAAAGGTGAGATAGAGGGGGGGCTGGAGAAAAATACAGCCACAGCGCCCTCTGCTGAGGAAAATCAGTACATGAAAGCAAGTTGTGTATTTAGACAATATATAGCTCCAGTCTATTCTAAAATGATCAATTGAAAATACAAAAAACATACATTTCTCTTTGTTGAGTGAAGCAACTTGTGAATATTGTTGTTCACATAATTAATCTGTGCATGTAAGAATAATTTGTCACTGCCACTAAATTCCTCATAAAATGTTTCTCAGTACGACCCTTATCTCTTTGCTTCTACACTCATTTAACTCTTTTTTTTTAAGACTCCATTCGCTCCAGTACCACCAGTTTGGGCAGAGCAGAGAAGAAAGGCCTCCTGGGTATCTTCCAGTTCGGCAGGAGGAAATCCAAGGTACGACTTTTTCGGCAAAATGTGTCCATTTAACGGCAGTAATACTTGAGAATTACTGAATTAAGAGCAAAATGAATATTGTCCACAAAGTTCAGGTGTGATTTATCTGCGCAAGTGCCATGAGAATTATTAAACCATAATAGTTTACAAACTAACTTGGAGTGGTGCATGCCAGTGATGCTTATTCCTGTTGATAGCTGAGGCAGGATTAATGCATGATGCAACTGAACAGTCGAATGCTGCATGTTAGCTGTGCCTTCCGTTCACAGACGGAGGAAACATCTGTGGACATGGATGACTGTGATGATAAAGTAATTCAAAATACTGACACACAACCCAATGTAAGTATTACAGAGTGGAATCAAAGTGGGATTTGGTTTTATCGTTATTCCACTTTAACGTGTCTCTGGAGCACTCCACTCATATCTTACAGGTGGACATAATAATAGAAACTCTTGTACAACATGATACAGATCAGTAACAACAGCACAAACTACAAACAAACATCATACATCACCACAGGGTTGACAAAAAACTGAAATTGAACAAGCTGAATAAAGGGAGTAAGTGTTGCAGTTCAATAGTATTGAATAATTTATCTTATGGTTTGGTTGTTCCTGTTATTATGTCCATTCCTTGTCCATTTCCTGCACAGCTGTGATAATTTGATGTGACATTCAGTTTGATNTCACACAGTTTGCTCCCATGTTTTTTTAAATATCCATTGCAAAGTTAGCATTAACTATGGAGTCTCAATGGCCACATAATAGGATATATATTTAAATTTTTCTTTGCAGCACAGGGTCATTTTCACATAATAGGACCTTGTTGCTTTTGTACAATTTGATTGTTGAGTTGTGTTATGTGGGCTCTTGTCCTCCAGAGGGCAGCATCTGTCTTCAGAAGTTTAGCCATCTGTTCATCTCAGGCCAATAGAGAAACAGTGCTGCTAAAGTTCTGGCTTCCACTCCCCTTTTCTTTTCTACCAGTGTCTACTGCCAAATATAATGGCTTTAGATAACACTGTTGTATAGTGGTATACATATATAGCTGTCCAGCAGTCCTCATGAATGAGGTAGTGTAAAGTAAGTACTGATCAGTGACCTGGGAAGATAGGCCATAAATGATTCAACTCAAACCACCCAAAAGTGTTTGTGGCTGGGAACATCAAAACTTAATCATCATTTAACATTGGCTTCAATGCTCAAACAGATGTTGTGTGTGTGTGTCTGTGTGTGTGTGTCTGTGGAGTGCATCCATGTTGAACCAGACGAACATTTAGATGCTCCATTAAGCAACTCTCCATTTTTTATATCTGTAACTCAATCACGCTAATTTGATTTTGAAGCCATGGAGCTCAGTGGAGCAGCAGTCATCTGTGGCTCACCTCAGATCAATATGGTATTTGATTTTATTAGCTGGAAAAAAACCCACTGCCTGGCTCCGTCATGTTCCCTTCACTCGTTCTGTGAAATACAAAGCCCCTGGTTTTCTCCACCCTTTCCCTCTTTGTTCTCTGCGTTGTTGAATCATTGTCAGCAATCTCTTATTTCTTGTCTAAGCTGTCTGTGTGCTTCTCTTCATCCTCTGTGTTTTGTCTTCATCAGATACTTCTGACAACATATTTTCCTTCAAAATATTTCTTTAGGATATGAAAAAAGCAGCAACAATGAAGAAAGACAGTGAAGGGAAAAAGGGGGAAAACATGGCAGCAGAGCACAAGACATCAAATCTAACACAGTTTTTTATTATTTGCTTTGATTTGAAAGTTTAGAATTAATCAAAACACTAAAACGTATCTGAGACATTGAGAGCTAAGTTATATTTAACCATATTGATATTTCTCAGCCGTATCTCTCTCTTTCCAGTGGGCTGTAATGTAGCTGGGCTTTTTCTCTCAGATATGATTGTTTCTCAGTCAGGGACTGTTATCAGACCACACACATGCATTTGTGCAAACAAGCAAACACACACACACACACACACACACACACACACACACACACACACACTTATAGACATACTGTGTTATCAGCCTGAAGGCATCAGATTACCCTACCTTGGCTACATTAGCACTAAAAGCCCAGCCTCTTATCTCTAATTGTTCATTAGGGGCTAATCGACTGTGTGCGTTTGTGTGTGTCTGTGTGTGTGTGGTCTTAAAACACTTACATGGTCAGAGAGCATCATGTTGTACGGCAATGCTTCTTCTGACATTAGTGCTTGTTTATTCTCTTCTTCTCTTTTGAGAATAAATAAAACCAAGGCCCATATTTATCAATCAGATCATTTTTATTATTTAAAAATTCTCAGAGAAGCACAAATTTGGGCACTTTAGGCACCTAACTTTGTTAACTTAGGAAGGACATCCTACCTTTGCAAACCTCATGATTACAGCAATTGAATGCAATCACCAGAGGCAATAATTTGGGAGCCACACAACTGTGAAATCGTTTTTCAGACCTTAATGCTCAGATTCCACTTAAGGAAACCGGATTGTAAATTTAAGGGTAATACAGAAACTGTTGATTTTCCAGCATTTCTAAGTGGCTTAGATTGTTTGGATAGTCTCAGCAAG